TACTATTTCTTTTTTAAAATTGAGAATTTAAAATACAAAACAATACTAATTTGATCTAAAAAGTTATCCAAAAATTCAGTTCTTAATTCTCATGATAAGTATAAAATGTACTTATTGAGTCATTGAGCCAGGCATGGTAGCACACATCTGTAATCCCATTACTTGGGAGACTGAAGCAAAAGAATCACAAGTTCAAGGCCAGTCTGGGCAATTTACCAAGTGCAAGGCCAGATTGAACTGTCTAATGACATCCTGCCTCAAAAAAAAAAAGCACTTATTCACTTCCCCGCTAAATATACCACCAAAACTCAAAACTGAGAAGAAAATATAAGAGCACTTCTGGATAATATATTCTGTATCTGTGTTAACCATTTTTTATTATCTGTTTAACTACAATGTGATTTATACCTAAGACATCCACTATAATGTATTAACACAATAAAGTGAAAAAAGAGAAACTGTTTTTAAAATAAATTCAAAGACAACTAAACTATCAACCTTACTTTTAATCTTCCCATATAAAGGAATCTCAAATTATTTTTATTCGGTGTTACAGTTATGATTTCACCTACATATAAACTTTCTAAATGTTCATTTATTCATTTAATAAATATTTATTAAGTGCCGGGCAGTGTGCTAAACTCTGGAGCCATAAGCTCTAATGAATAAGAGTTCTACTTGCACAGATGTATTCTATGACTTTCAAACTCCATTTGCAAAATTCCACTTTTAAGATTTTTAATTTATCCATTAGAATATTATGATATAATATTATTACAAATCACATAATATCCATGTGGCTCTTCAATTCATGGAGATTGTTAAATATGACCCTGAAGTTAAGTCAGAGTCACAACCACATATTATGTACACGAGGTTAGAAAAAAGTATACTTTATCACTATGATTAGTACTATTTAGACAAATACCCTCACTTGGCTAAAAACTACCATGATATCTAGTCTAAGCTGCAATTACACTGAATTTTTATCTAACACTAAAGCCATAAGTAAAACTGTGCTGCCTAATCCCTCCTTAGATAATGCTTTAGTCTTAATTTAGCAGCCAGAAATTCTAATGTTCAAATGGAAAATATTTCTATCCTCCCATTACAACCTAGCAGGCTTTTCTGTAAGTCTGCATCATTAATTAGTATTGAGTTTGAAGACATAATAACCTAAGGCCAAATGTTAAAATAAACGGCAGTTAATAGAATCAAGTAATTTCAGACCTGAATAAATTATCTAATTTTAATTTTTCATTTTAAAGATGACAAGACTGAGATCTGGGGAGGTTTACTGATTTACTCAAGGTCACACAAGTTAATGACAGAGCTATGGTTAGAGTTTTCTTACTCCTATTCCAATGCACTTTTTAATAATTAAAAGAAATAGTTATAGGAAATTAAGAGGAAATTCTGAAAGGAAAAAATTACTTTAATGACAAACATGAGTGAACCATAACTCAGATGCACTTAATAAGCTCTAAATTAAAATTATGTTTTATTTAAAAATAAGAAGAAAAGGAAGTCAAAGCTGAAAAATGATAGATTACTCTTTTGGGCTATGACCTTCATTCAGGTCAATCCAGTTATAATCAACTTTAAGAGCCTGTTCCAAATATTTTTTTAGTTCTGTAATTATTTCATATTGACTAATACTCAAAATTAGTAGGGTACTGGCCTGGGAACAGAAATCTTTTTTATTTATAGAGATTTCTGTTGTAATGAGTTTTGACCAGGGAACAGTAAATTAAAGCATTTCTTCAAACTCTAACCTTAATTTCCTGTATCTCCAATTTTGGCTTCTTCTCTACCTACCTGTACAAAATAATAAAGACTAGAATTCTCATTTCAAGGTCACTTTTATATTTCAAAGTTTAGTTTCTTTCAGTATTGTTGAACACAATTTCTTCAACGTTTTTATACATATAAGAGTGAAATTCTGTTAGAGAAATAACTGATAAAAATTTTGCTAATAATCAAGTTGTAAAATATCTAAGCACTAGAAGAATGCCTCTCAACACTTTAAAAATTAAGTGGTACCTGAATGGTTAAGGAACGATGGAATACTGTTCTAACAATTCATATGCCATATTAAAATAAGTCTATCATCCCTATGTAATAAAGATACAGAGTTTCTCTGGGTTTTTGTCTGTACTGGAGAGTAAGAATAAAATAAAAAATGTGTTGCATATTTATAGGACTTGAATTCTGGGTCAGCAGGATGTATAAGTAAAATAAAGCAATCAAAACAACAGACTGAGATGGTTGTTTCTCAAACAGAAAGTGTTTCGTGGTTCTTATTAAAATAAAAGTAGTTAAATGGAAGATAGGACATATTTAAATGTTTCTGAAAGCCTATTTTATTGGAAAAATAAAAATTTATTTGGATACAGACATATAGATTTCTATAGTGAATCTAATGAAAACATGTGGTATACCTACTTTATGCCAGCCAGTATTCTAAGCACTTTTCACATTGCAATCAATTACATTCTCTCACCAACCCTTTTAGGTAGGTACTGTCGTTATATTCTCTTTACAAACCAAGTGAAAACTATCAGCTTTGTAGAATCTATCTTGGGATCATTTTGTTTGCAAAATTTAAAGACTTTTTTCTGTGTGTGTGCGTGTGTGTGTGTGTGTGTGTGTGTGTGTGTGTGTGTTACTAGGGAATGAACTCAAGGCCTTCACAGAGCTATATTACCAGTCCTTTCTTATTTTGAGACTGAGTCTTGCTAAGTTGCTAAGTTTCCCAGGCTGGGCTCAAACTTGTGATCTTCCTGCCTTGACTGCCCGATGTACTGAGGTAAGAACTGTGTGTCACCGTGCCTGGCTAAGATATTTATATTTCAATTAAACAACTTCATATGAAAAACTTTGGTACCATGAATGTCATGTCTCAAGAATACACTCTTAATAAGTTGTTTCTGTAAATTCTTAGCTTCTTCTATGTATAGCAAACCCATGTTACAAAAACTATGCTAGAAGCATTCTATCCTTCCCAACCCCCTGTAAACTAAATAACTTTCCCAGCCCAACTCTCATACATAATACACAACAAGAAAATGTTTCACATGGCACAAGGACTACAGAGGCTGCCATTCCTCAACCTCATATACAATGCAACAGATAAGCCTTATCAGTTCTGCATCTGGACTCTCCCTAATCCATCCCTCCCCCACCCCTTTTTTTTCAAACCCACTGTAATGACCATTGCTAAGGTTCTCAAATCTTCATGGTACCATCCAGCCTCAAAGCCTCCAATATACTACATGGTGTCTGTGCAGGGCATGTGAGGGCCAGGAGGAACATGGAGAACAGTGGTTGGGGCTTCATGAAGGTAGTTGCATTAGCCCATCAAGCTACAAAAAATAAACATAAAATCTCCTTTTTTAAAAAAAGTGTATTTGCTACTGAGATACAGCCTCAAGACAGATGCCTTATCCCCCTCCCTTCTAATTGTCATCTCAGCTTCTCTCCTACAAACTTCTAGAAAACCAGCACTGACTTTCATGCATACTAAAGCAATAGTGTTCATTAAATGTAAATGAAGACATATCCTTCCATTTCTTCCCCAAGATTTTAATACCTTAGAACACTAAGGTACTTTATAATTTGGCTATCTTTCCTTCTTCACCTCTTCCACCTGCCCTCACCCTCCAAGCTACCTATAGTAAATAAACTGCATTTTCTCAACACAAATTGCTCTTTCAGGCCCTCATTTTTTACCCTGCTAGTCTATATGTTAAAAAGCCCTTCTCCCCTCCTGGGCCATGGGCTAACTGCTGCTCATGGTTTGAGATTCAGCTGAAGTACTATCTCCTCCATGGAGGCCTCCTTAAACTTCAGAGACCTTACCTCTCTTCCAAAATTTCTTTTTTCAGGCCGGGGATTTAGCTCAGTGGTTTCATCGCCTGCTGCGCAAGCGCAAGGACCTGAGTTTGATCCCTGGTACCAAAAAAAAACAACAACAACAACGAAAAAACAAAATTTCTTCTTCTAAAGAAAAGACAAGCCCATCTTCCTGTGAATCCCCATAATACTCCAGGCATAAAACATTCTAGTCTAATCATATCATTACATGGCTCAAAGATCCTTACACAGTTCCATCTCTACCTCGTACTTGTTGAAAAAAAGCAGCTTTACCTTTTCTGTATCTCTGTATCCTCACTGCTTAACATAATGCCTGGCACTCATAGTTCAAAATCAGTAAATATTTAACAAGTTAGAATTAAAATCTTCATCCAGTACTGTAATAGAGATATGTTCCTTAATATAAAGTTAAAATACTGATAATTATATTCATAGAAATAAAATATTTGACCATTACGGTTTTCCTAATAAAATTTAAACATTAAACTTATGATATAGGTACATATGAAATTTTGGAATGTCACAGTTCACTTCTTTAAATGCTTAAAAATATCATATTTTTAAAAAGTATAATGGTTCTAATTTATGAACCAGTTGACACACACTTTATTTGTTCTGTTTATGTGTCACTGTTAAGTAGAGCATCTTTTCTTTTTAACTATAATACATAAGTAACATAATTATGCTTAAGTTGTTCATTTTATTTTTTTTCATAAAGGAATGGCCACATGTGGAATGAAAAGCATTTTTATTATCCTTTAGCAAGATGAATGTCCTATTTTGTGTGATTTGGGGCAATTTCTTACTACAACTACCAGGCTCTTATGAACATTATGATTTGCAGATGTGTAGTGTGCACTACAGAACAAGAAGATATCGTGAAATATTAGTGACAATTATATCCTGGGCAAGGAAACTGGACAATGTCTCCAAGGGTTGTAAGGATTGTGGAAATGAATGTTACTTAAAGTAGAGTGGTGACTTATAACCAGTTTCCATCTTCAAATCAGAGCCCAAATAAAAGAAAACAAAATTTAGCAAGATATAGTGGTGTATCATTTCCTGCAGCAGAAACACCCACTCAGACCAGTGCCCTCACTATGTACAGTACAATGAGCAGCAACCTGAGGGAAGCCCACAGGCTCGCAGGGCGACTGGCTGGCTCTTTGTCACCAAGTGCAGCAGGTTGAACGCAGACATCACTGTGATATCTTCCCCAACAAAACAAGAGGCAAAGAACAGGAGCAAGAGCTGAGTAGGAGAAAAAAGAAAACAAAAGACAAATTAAAACATCTCAAATGTTAAACACATTCATTGAACTATTGATAGTTACAGGAATGAACACACAAATTTCTATTATTCAGATGATGAGCTTAGTTTCAACCCAGGCTTATTTATATTTTATGACTAAAATACACATTATATAATAGCAGAGTAATCTGTGAACACATTTTTCAAGAGGTTGAAGTTTAAAATAGGTGAAAGGAATTAGCTTTTTCTGAGTTTGTACCATGTGACAGGAACAGTCTGGGACTTAATATACACATTGTATCATTTAATTCTTACAATAAATCTAGGACATAGGTTTTTATCCCCCAATACTTATGAGAGAAAACCTACGCTCAGAGGTCTAGGGGCATAGAGCAAATAATCGGTGGAAAAAGGATTAGAAAACCCCGTTATATCTAACTGCAAAGCCATATTCTTTCCTTTTACCATGCTGCCTCTTCCAGCAATTTGCAAATCTCCCTCCCTGGAGAAGACTGTAAATTACAGTAAGAGTAAGAAACTTCTTTTGTTAGAGTTTCTTTTTTTTTAATAAAGTGGAAAAAAAAAACCTAAGGGCAACTAGGAGAATTCTCTTTAGAAACAGTGCTAAGTTTAAATAAAACATGAAGCACATGAATTTTCATTTAACTTTATGATTTAAAATTTCTAAATAAATTTCTGTGAACAATATTCATAGCATTAAAAAGTATAAAAATATTTTTCTAAAGTCTTTGGAAATGAATCATTTGTGTGAGTATTAAACTTTAGAGAAAAGTTTAGTTTTTTTGTTTGTTTGGTTGGTTGTTTTTGGTACTGGGGATTGAACTCCAGTCCTTGTACTTGCAAGGCAGGCGGCGGAACCACTGAGCTAAATCCCTGGCCCAGAAAAGTTTAGTTTTTAGGATTTTCATAAAAGTTCTGTAATAACATTTTAAGTAGTTTTAACTACCAAATATCCAAAATAGATATAAAATTAAAGTTTGTTCATTTCCTGACCACCATCTCCACCCCTCCCAACACACCCCAAATAAAAATCTGTTCCTGGACTCTCTGACCTCCTTGAAGAACAAACACATAATAAGCAGTAATATATTTTACCAAATCACTCTGGAGTATATCTGACAGAAATCTGCTTGTATTAACATGCCTGAACTCTGACTTCTCTAAACTAAACTCACTACAAAACTAAAACATTTTTGTGTTACTAACTGGAGACAAAGAGGAGGAAGAGGGAAGGTAAGTATCACAATGCACAGCCTGAAAGAACCATTAAACATAAATAAACATGTCATTTTCGTGAGTGACTGCAGAGCAGGGGAAAGAGAGCATGCTTTTGGAGCAGACTACTGACTAATAAAAGATCAAAGATCTATACCTCACAGCACTATAAATAAAAATGTATTTTTTCTTGAGAGGCTTCTCTGTGAGGAATAAAGTGTGCACTGTAAATGTAATTGCTTAGGAAAGCTGCAGCCCCATTGTGCTCCTGCAGCTAACTATAAAACGTCTTCCTATTCTGTTTCATCAACTGCTGTACCAGGCAGCCTAGGCGCCTACCGATCCCTGTGGCCATCTGGCTTGTGTCAAAGCCAGCGCACAGGAAGAAAGGCAGTGATGTCACCCTACAGGTCAGGCAAAGAACAAAGATGCATTCTACAATTAAAAGCTGAGGCCGAAAACAACGGGGGCCCTCCAGCATGATATGACTGGGTAATTTAATGTTTTGATTCCATTGCCTTTTTTTCTACCCAAATAGTCAGGGCTCCATCTAGTGGATAATTAGTTTTGCCCAGTTTTTACATTCTAACTTTTTTTTTTATTCATTCTTTTTTTTTTCTTTCTTTCTTTCTTTCTTTCTTTCTTTTTTTAGAGCTGACACAGTGCTGCATCAGTACCAACAAAATAGAGAAAATAAAGTGATTACTTTTAGAGTAATCCACTCTATACTGAAAATGCAAAAAAAAACCTGTCATGATGTTCCTCATTCTCAATTTTACAAAGAATGCATTTTATAGGTTAAGATTTGATACAATCCTCACTATTCTAACACTCACAAGGATGGTAGAAAAAGCAGCTAAGTACACAAAATGCATGTAAAGTAGCATTACTTACACTACCCTGAAAATATGTAGCTGAGATGTAAAGTGAAAAACTGTTCTAGACAATGCATCCATGCATCCAGATGCCCTGCTAAATCAAACCTTTAATCTTATATTTAACGTGGCTCTAGCATGTGACATTAGGATTAACTCTAAAATATTCTTACACTGAAGTGTTTTAACAAAATGGGGGGGCAGGGTCTGTGGTACTGGGAACTGGACCCAGGGCCTTCCCACTGAACTATATCCCCACCCCATTTGTATTCTTTTGACACAAGGTCTCACTAAGTTCTCCTGGCTGAGCAGCCCATCCTGACTCATCCTCCCAGAGGCATGTGCCACCACAACTATCTAAAAATACTTTTTTGGCTAATAGCACATAGATATGCTCAGGAAATGTTAGCCACTATTATTATTTAAATGTGTCAAATATTTGCTATAGTTAAAGTTGTATGAATTAGAAAATTCTTACAGTCCATTTATACCCAACTCTATTTAGAGCTAGCAGGTCAGTCTCCAAAGAACCCTATTTAGACCTGAAAACTTACTATTGTAATTGTTATTCAACAATGAAATACCTACAAAAAAAGGAAAGAATGGAAACAAAGTCTCCGCAAATAGGGAAGGGTGGAGGGGGTGAAGGGAGCACAGGGAATGGGGAAAAAATAAGAACCAAGATACATCATGTACAGGTACAAGCACCCAGTGATAAATGTAAACGTACTGTGTACCTAAAATGTACCAATAAAAGAATTTAAGCAAAAAAAAATTGTACAACAAAGAGATCCTAAAGACAACAGTTGACTAAGCACTCAGCATGTGCCAGGCACTATTTTAAGCACTTCACTTTTATTAGCTCTTTTAATCCTCATAACCTTGAGAGATATGCACTATCATTTTCTCATTTTAGACAATAGAGATTGAGACTTAGGGAGGTGAAGTAATTTGCCAGCTGCAGGGGGCTGTTTGTTATCATTGAAAGCTCTAAAATGTTCGACATCACTGGCCTAGACTCCTACAGCTAGTAAAGGGCACAAAACCTAAGTAATTGGGTAATCTAATTAATGCACATGAACCCAGGCTATTTGACTCCAAGGGCACTGGTCTTGACAATTACATAACAGGCAACAAAAATCTGCAGGGTGCATCAGCCCACTCTACATACTCTGATTCTATGTATCTTTGTAAGTACAATGACTAAACAAGTAGAAAACATGTAATAAGGGAACTTAATTTTAGAAGGTTGCTTAAAAAATCTTTTCCACTGACACTGAGAGAAAAAAGTAGGAAGCTAAGGAAGTGAAAAGTCTGAAACACTTGTTAGATTTCTGTACTTGACTTTTAACAAGATACAACTTTAACTTCTCTTTCATCTTCAATACTTTTCTCTAAATTTCTTGGATGCACCCTTAGGATAAAATCCTAGGAATCCATAGAAATAACTGCACTTTAACCTACTAAAACTTAAATATATTTGAGGAACAAATAAAACAAGACATCCCTGCTCTCCAAAAAAATCCAAGTTTCAACTTGACAGCTTTCTTCTTATTATACTCCTTGAACTGCTTGTTTCTAGTCAGAAACAATCGTGGTCCAAAAAGAAGCAAAAGGAGTACATGACAATGTGCTTATTGAAATCAGCACTGAGTAAGAACCACCAGAACCTCCATAATACTCCAAGTTTATCCTGAACTTCCTCACTTTTATACTACTTTTACCTCAAATAATTACAGGGATGATTAATATTTACAGATAACCTATGTGATATTTTTTTGAAAGCCAAGACAAGAAGTCTCATGCATCTTTCTAATCTTTCAGAAAATCTGGCACATAAACTTGAGAACAGTGGGTATTAAAAATTCCGGTTGAACAGTACCTACTAAGGAGTATCACACTATGTGTTGAGAATAGAATTAGCTTACACGATTATCCATAATTTCCTGCTTAAAAATGATGATTCCCCATTGCATAGTGCAGTTTCCCAAACCACATTCTGAAAGTCAGAAGACAGGCCTTCTAACAAGTTTGGTAGTCAAATACTCATATAAATGCTGCTCAGGAAGAGTCTGAGAGGTCTTCAGTAAATGTAACTGCTTAACTTTGTCTCAAGTGCTATAACTGAAATACTTTTGACCATACAAAACCCTTTTCTATCCTAACACATCCCACAGAAGACATTCTGGTAAATCCATTGGATGAAGTCCAAATTCCTAAACAAAACATCTAAAGTTCTAAATCTAGCTGCTGCCTAACTCTTCAGCCTTTTCTCTTACCATACCTCCATACCTCATACCACCCCACACTCACGATTCCCCCAACATGCTCATGATTTCCCCAAAAAGGACTACTATTTCCTACCTCCACCTCTACATCTTTATTCCATATCATCACTCTCTGCCTCCACTCTCAACTTCTATCACTTCTAACCTCTCCAATTCTAGTCCCTACTGGAGTACCCACCATATTATTACCTGCCTTAAGACAATTTCCAGGGCACTGATTTGCTTTCATCTCTTCTTCTTCAAGATTATAAATCTCTTAAAAACAGAGACCGTTTCTTTTTCATCTTTGTATCCTAGTACCAGCACATAACAGCCATTCATTTATTGAGGTAAAGACACAATATAAATTATTGCACAGTATTGATTGTCCAGGATCATCATTTTCAGTGCTATCTCTGTCAGCTCATCCTGTTTGTTCCAGAATTATCAGCAGTTCTGATAAAGAAGTGATAAGTTGGAAATGCAACCTGATTTGAAATCCAAAGATAATTCAAATGCCTTACACTGGTTTTGAAAAAATTCTACTTCTCCAGAAAAAACATTTTACTTTTTCTCCCAAAATTCTAACACCCCAAATTTTGACTAGAATTTTTTGCTAGTG